TGAACCCAAAGCTCCACCAAGAAAAACACCATTCTTTGCTAGTAATCTCTGTTGTATAGAAAATAGTTGGTGTGTTGGTGTAGAAAAGAGTAGAAGAGATGAACTATTTATAGGCTACTAAGACATTACAAAATACACCAAAAAATAATAATGACCACGAACCTAGAGAAAAGGAAGAGTGTATCCAAATATTACCTCACCACCAAGTTCATGAATTCTAATTAATCTTCATTTATGAACAAGACAAAAGGTCACCAAAACAATGAATCTCCATTCATGAACAAGATGAGATTCATGAACAAGACAAAAGGAAGATTCATGAACAAAATATATAAATAAATAAATAAATGATATTAAAATGGTCCAACACATTCATTGAATGTTCTAATCCTCCTCAAGCCCAAACCACCTAGATTCTTATTCTTTGCAATTCCATCCCAACAAACCAAATGCACTTTTCTTCAGAGATCTGATCCAACCCATAGGAAAGCTAATTGCATTTTCTCAATCTTCTTAGCCACTCCTACCGGAATCTTGAACAATGATAAATAATAAACAGGCAAATTAGACATAACAGACTTGATTAAGGTTAATCTCCCAGCAAAAGAAAGTAGTCTTTTCTTCCAGTTAGCCAATTTCTACTTGAATCTAACAAGAACTGGTTTTCCGAGTGCTTTCTTCTACCTGGGTTGACCCCCAATGGCAGTCCCAAACACATTATAGGCAGCTCCTTGTGGAGGCAATTTAAATTAGAGGCAAACTCATGCAATAGTCCATCATCAATCCCAACACCACAGATTACACTTTTATGGTAATTTATTTTCAGCCCCGATACCATCTCAAAACATCTTAAAGTTCTTTTAAGTTTACCTACTTCCTCCCTCTTCGCTTCACAAAACAAAATCGTGTCATCCGCAAATTGCAAGCAAGTTACTCTTAGATCATTTGACCCCACCTTTGCCCTATAGATTAAGTTGAACTCCTTGGCCCTGCTCAGTAATATATTGAGACCCTTTGCGACAATATTAAATAAAAGTGGTGACAATGGATCACCTTGTCTAAGGCCCCTTTGTGGGCAAAATTCAGATGTTGGTGACCCATTCACCAAAATGGAGATCTTACCAGAAGATACACAAGCTTTCACCTAACTCACACATCTAGAATCGAAGAGAAATTCCTAATTAATTGAGTCATAGGCCTTTTCAAAATCCAATTTAAGTACCAAACCTTTCTTATTGAATCTTTTCCATCCGTCAACAATTTCATTTGCTATTGGAATCCCATCCAGAATATTCCGACCACCCAGAAAAGCTGACTGAACCTCACTAATAATATTGGGCATCACTTGTTTCATCCTATTTGCTAACACCTTTGCCAGAATTTTATATATGGACCCATTCAGACTAATAAGCCTATACTCATCCATACAAGAGGGGCTATCATATTTGCCTATTTTCTTACTTTGATTATTAATTTTTTTTTTCACTTTGACTCTTCATATTTCAAGTTTTTTCTAATTTATTTAAAAAATTAGCTTATGTCTAAAATTAGATTATAAATAAATAAATAAATAACACATCGAGAGTCACGTGACTTGAAAATATTTTATTATATATAACTCAAATATCTGATACAATTTTAAAATACAAATATCAATATAATAATATATTTTTTATGTAATGTGACAGCTAGTGTGGCATTTTCTATCTAATTTTGAATAGAAATTAACTTTAGGCATAAATTTGAAAAAACTTAAAATATGAAGGGCCAAATGAAAAAAAAATAATAAGGGTCAAAATGAGAAAATAGACAAATATAAAGGGTATAAAGTATAAGTTACTCATATAAAAATAGGGGAAATTACCCATAGATCCCATGTGGAACATGTGGACACCATTTAATCCCATAACTTTTTGAGTACACCCAAAAGTCCTTTCCCCTCTCTCTCTGCTTTTTGCTTCCCTCTTTACGCCTCCTCCTCTAACCCTAATCTCAGTCCTAAAGTCAAACAAGAAGGCGATGAAGAACAAGAACAAGAACAAGAAGACGCTCATCCTCAGATCTGTGCTTAGATTGAACAGATTTGTGTATATATCTTTGTCAATTTCTCTCTCTTTCTCTCTCTATTTACAGATTTTTTTTGGGATAGTTGTTGATCTATGGTTGTTGTTGTTGATGATGAAATAGATCTATAATATCATTGAAACAGATCTGTAATGACTCAGATTTGTACAGATATCACACAGATTTGTAATGAGAAAATTTTCGAATTCTGAACAAGTAATTTTCGAGTTTTAGTTACAGGCGGTGAAAACTGTAAAATTTTGCAGTTTCAAATTTTTTTTTTGGTGCTGGAATGAATCATGGTTTAAAACTGTAAAATTTTGCAGTTTTATAACATTTTTTAGAACTGTAAAATTTTACAGTTTCATAACATGTTTTTAACATTCCGACGAGTCCCCGGCGATGTTGAACATTCCGACCAGTCTCCGGCGACCGTTTGACGGAAGTCCGACGGTAGTAAGATGTGAACAGTGTCTGTAAATTAAAAAAAAAAATGATTTTTTGGTAACAATTAAAAATGTATTGGACTAATTGGTGCAAGTATTTTGTTTTGGGATTAGCTGGGTTTTGAACTTAGTACATGGGACTTATCAGTAAGTTCCCCATAAAAATATAACGCCACTTCTTATCCATAAGAAGAAGAAAAAAACGGACAGTTAAACATTTTGAAAGTGATTGAAAATTTGTTTGGTTTGTATTTTTCAGAAAATTTTGGGAAAAATTCTCTACAAATAAATTTTTAAAAGTAATCAAACCAAACAAATTTTTTCAAAATTTTTTCCAGAACTTGTTTGGTATACAAGTTTTCCAAACAAATCTCTCTCTCATACACATCAAATCAATCACTTTTTCTAAAACTCTCTCTCAAAATAATTTTTCAATACATCTTTTGAAAAAAACCAAACTAAATAAATTTTCGTATTTTTTATCTCAAAATATGTTTCTCAAATACAAACCAAACAAACTATTTGTTTTTATAAACGACTTTCTATCCATAAGAAGAAGAAAAAAAAGGACAGTTAAACATTTTGAAAGTGATTGAAAATTTTGTTTTTATAGACGACTTTCTATCCATAAGAAGAAAAAAAAAACGGACAGTTAAACATTTTGAAAGTGATTGAAAATTTTGTGCAAAAAGTTTAAAGAGGAGTTACAATTTTAATTTGAAATATGAAGAGTCAAATAAAAAAAGTTAAAAAAAAAAAAGGCAATTACATCCCAGTGGATGTCAAAAAAAAAATTATATATTCATAAAAAAAATTCACATATTTAATTATTAATATTAATAAAATTTCTTATTAATTTGTAATTATTTTTTTAAAACCCCAAAAACCCCATTGATGTGATATTTTTCACACAAAAAGAAAAAAAAAATGCACGATTAAGTGAACAAATGACCAAACATAAATACAGGGGCGGCTCCAAGGCTTGGCCAGAGGTGTCACCCGAACCTCCTAACTGAATTATTATTATTATTATTATTATTATTATTATTAGATTTTAGGAAAAAAATTAGTAATTGAACCCACTAAAATATAACTTTGAACCCATAGTTTTGCATCCTACTCTTTTAAACCTACTATTTGATAGTGTTGATAATGAGCTTATTATGCAACGATTTCAAAATATGAAATCTCGTCGTGGTCAATTGTAGAAGCTCGTGTATTAGCATATCTTTTTGCTTAAATAATAGTATCAATATATTGATATATTTTTGTTTATAATTTTAGAATTTAAATTAATTTGTTGATTTTTTTTCTCCATATGTGATATAATGATTAATGTGAATTTTCTGTAAGATATATGGTATTTGAGTTTTTGATTGACACCACTGACAAAAATTCCTGGAGTCGCCACTGCATAAATAGGACAAAGTATAATTTATCTATTTTTATATCATTTTTTTTATTAGCAAAAATCAATTATTAATTATATTTATCCAGGGAAAGGTATGCATCTTATAACTACACGCCCCCCCCCCCAAAAAAACATAATTTTAATTTTTTCAGTCATAACTAAAAAAAAAAAAAAAAACTTATACTTTAATTTGTTAAACTAAAGTAGTCAATTCTCATAAAATAGTTTAATTATTTAATTATTTAAAATAGTTTAATTATTTAATTGTGTCTACTAAAGTAGTCACACTACAAGAAATTACACTTTTGGCGATCAAATTTGGTGACTAAAAAAAATTTAGTCGCCAAAAATTATGGAATTGACGATCAAAAGTTATATTAGTCAACAAAAGTATAAGATTTAGCTACTAATTTTTTTTGGTCTAGGTATTTTGATTCTTGGTAACTAAAAAAAATTTAGTTGCTATACATGCCACAATTGGTGACAAATTTTTTTTTAGTCGCTATATAATTAGTTTTGGCTACTAAAATTATTTAGTTACTGAATAAAAAACAAAACTTTATTTTTTATCTTTGGTAGCTACATGTTTTGGTGGCAAAAAATTTATTTTCAGCAACAAAAAATTTTTTTAGTCACTGTAGAGTTAGTTTTGACTATTCAAATTATTTGGTCGCTGAATGAAAAATAAAAATTTACTTTTTATCTTTGACGACCAAATGTTGGGTTGTTAAAAATTTATTTTTAGTGACTAAATAAGTATTTTAGTCGTTGTATAGTTAGTTTTGGCTATAAAATTTATTTAGTCATTGAATGAGAAACAAAAATTTATTTTTAGCAACTAAATAAATTTTTAATCACTGTATAATTTTGACTACTAAAATTATTTAGTAGCTGAATAAAAAACAAAAGTTTAGTTTTTATTTTTGACGACCAAAATTGGTCTGCAAACTTTGTATAAAAGTTTTTGAAGGTAAGATTTTTAAATTTGGAGGATTCCTAAATGAATTAGTGACTACATTTTCAATTGGTCGGGAATGAAAGCGTAATCCATTGATTAAACAAACCCACGATTTTGCGGTCGCGAAGCGAAGGGGATTTGAAGGGGGAAAAAAAAAACAAAACCAGAGAGAGAGAGAGAGAGAGAGAGAGAGGGGGGATAGGTACAGCAGGCCAATACAATCAACTCTGAAGAAAAAAATCAAAATATCTTTTTGTGTGTCTTTCTTTATACTCTCTCTGTGTCTCTCGTTCGCTGTGTGTACTTCTCGTCCTTATCTTGGCCGATGGATGGATTCGATTTGCTTTCTTCAATCATAGAGCTATGCAAAGGTATATACATAACATCGTCATCTTCATTTTTGTCATTATCTTTCACCGCCACATCTTCTACTTCTTTTTTCGTATCCATACAAATTATTTTATTCTAATCTTCTCTGTTTTTTGTTCATCTGCTTTAGATTTGTTCAGTTCTCTCAAATGCGAGTTTGTGTTTTTCTTTCCTACTTGTTCTGCATCTTGATGCTTCATTCATGCTTATATTTGTATATTTTGTAAATCTGATCGTCAGATTATTGTTGTTAATTTCGATCTTGGATTTTCTGGTTAGGGTTTTTGTTCGATTAGATGATTTATTGGGAATGGACTGTATATTCTGTGCAGTTAATGGCTTGTATTAGTTAGTTGGTACTTATTATGACTTGCTTTACATACAGCCCCTTTGATTGTAGTTTATCTTAATACACTTAATCTAGTATTAATGATAAATATTTGGGAAAGTTACACATCAATGAAAAATTGACTGAGATTCACCTATGTGTAGTAAGGCAGCCCTGTTTGGTTTAATTTGATTCAATTTGTTTTTTATATTTTACTTTTACGATAAATATGCAGGCATACTAGATAGAAAAACTACAAAAATACTAACAAATTTTGGGCCTAAATAAGGCCTAAAAACAAGTGAAATCTTAGTTTAAAAAATGTTGAAATTTTGCCAAGTCTAAACCGCCAACCCGATCGCATCAATCCACTAATCTGGCAGTCCGTATCCGCCAACTAAGTGGGCGAACGGCGGATGGAATGTCACCTGACCCAACCTGAACCACGAGCACCACTAGCATTTGTTATGTCATTAATTGTATACTTTAAGTTATCAATAAGAAATATGTCTCATAATCTAATTGGTAAAGCTAAAAAAATAGATGAAATTACAAAAATTATATTTATGATGAAATAAAAGTACTTGTCATCCTATAAGTTCTTCAGTTTTATTGTATTTTATGTTAAGTTTATCCAATTATATATATATATATGTAAGAAATAGATGTATTATTGATTGATATATGTTGTATGTTATAAATTACAAATGGTGAGGGGTTCCTTATATAGGAGATGTAGTGGAGTAGGTGGTAGTAGGTGGTAGTGGTAGGTGTGTAGTAGGTGGTAGTAGGTGGTGGTAGGTGTAGTAGGTGGAGTAGGTGATGGTAGGTTTTAACAATATATATAAATTCCATTCTTATTTTCTATTTTAATTTGTTAAAGTTTATACAATTATTTTATGTGATATTTTTGATGTTTGTGCCAAGGTGCATACATCATTATTGTTCAACATTATGTATGTCACACACTTCTGAACAATGACAGGGAATATGCTGTGTATACATAAACTTTTCATGTTTTACCACTCTTATTTGTGATGGTCTTATTTTGAGGTCACTATGGTGATGATCAAATATGGCAGAGACTTTGCATGTATATATGCACACATATGGGGCAGCCCACTGCACGATGATCTTGCCACTTACCTAAATATATATGTGGGGATTGCTACTATCCTCTACAGTAGAGTGAGGTACCCTATTTTTAATAGCCATACAATAATTCATTATAATTGAGTTTGTGAGGTTATTGGAGGGGTATCGTTTTAGCACTTTGTCTTCTCCCCTTCCATCTCTTTATGATGTCTGGCTTGCTACTATTTCCATCCAGATCCCAGTTTACAAATGATTTAGGCAATTGTAGTGTAGCTGGTGTGTAGCAAGACGTATGATGTATCATTCCATGGGAATGCGTCTCCATTTTTATCACTGCAACCACCACTATTGAGACACAATAATGTCCTTGCTGCACAATACCTCAACTAACACCAATAATCCACCATCAAATTTCAGCAAAACCTTTAGTCTTGCTGTCTATGGAGTGTTCCAGGAACACTTCATGATTTTTGACGGCTTACTTCCTATAAATTCTAAAACAGCCATTAAGTAACTTTTTTGACTCTGTTTCTGATGGTTACTCTTTCGGGATAGGGTAGCCAGATTGATCCTTCCTCCAAAGAAATATGAGAATGGAGAAGTTAAAGTAAAAAGTACACATGAACCTTTTATATTTAAAGTGCTTTATATAATTATTAATCAGGCTGTGTTTTGATTGAATATACACTTGACTCATGGTTGGTGTAACATCTGTTAATGCTCTGAAAGTTGATTTCATTTTATTGAGACAAAATGTTGGAAGTGAGCATGCCGGCCTCTTGACAATGACCAGCATATCATCTTTGCACTTCTCTTTTCACCATCTACAGTTTAATTTTTAGAATGTTTTCTAGCCCACTGGTTTAGACTATAAATATCAATATCTATATCAGTCAGAGAGAGAGAGAGACTCATAACAAAATTTAGTTACTGCATAGCTGGCTTGGTGCTAATCTGGTACCTGATCCGTGATGGTATGTTGCTAATTTGTGATGAGGAGGTTCAGCCAAGGAGGTTCATCTGCATTTTGTTTGCTTGCTTATGCTTTTTTTGTTTGTCTTGTAATTTTTAAGAAATGTATCAAACCTTAAAAGGAGTTATGATGATTTTATATATGCATTTTTTGTTGTTGTTGTGATTGGGTTTTAGGGCATATTACTGATTAGTTGAGGAACTATTTGGAGCTAAATCTCCAAAGAATTTGTACATATGATAATTTGATATATGCATTTGTTTTTTGGTATTGGGTTTTAGGCCATATGACTGATGAGTTCGGGAATTTTTTGGAGCTAACTCTTCCAAAAACTAGTTTACTCTTTCTTGCTTTTAAGAGCAATAGTTGAGTATTTTTGGGATTTGTTGTTTTGAAATTGTGACATTGTATGAAGCTTTATGGATGTTTTTTTATTTATTCCAATTAGATTTTGTTAAAGTTGTTCTTTGATTTACTTAACGCAGAGAATGGTGCTCTCGGCATTTTCCTGAACTCGTAAAGATTGTCAATGACAACCATCTTTATGCCAAAGTCTCAAAATTTGTTGAGAACAAATCAGAATTGTTTGAAGACAAACTACTAGGCTTGATTGATATAGTTGGAGGATGAAGATAAAGCAAAGGTTGATCACCTTTTGGCGGGGTACAAATTAGTTTTTGGTGGTATAGATTAACTTTTGGATATTAATTTTGATTAATCCTCTGTTATATATGGAATTATATTTTTGAGATTGGATTATACTGGGTTTGTATGGAATTTCTATTGGAAATATTAATTTGATATTAAATATGAATTTTTTTGATGATTGAAAGTGAAATGTGTGCATGTTGTGGAATGGTTGCTAATTTTATCAGTATATGGATTATTTTATTTATATACAGGGTACGAATTGTACTAATAATGGAATGAATACAAATGGTCGAGAAATTAGTTTAAAAAAAATTATAAAATTTTTGTCTACTAAATATTTTGGTAGTCAAAAATACAAGCAAAGGTTTTTCAAGACTAATATTTAGTAGTAAAAAAGAAATAAAAGACTTTTAGCGACCAAATAGTTAGTAGCCAAAATAAATCAAGATGAGGGAAGAAACTTTTGCCGACCAAATATTTTAGTCACGAAAGAACATGGCATCCTTTGGCAACTAAATTGTTTGGTCGTAAAATACCATGAAATGAAATGATCTAATCTTTTGGCGACTAACATGTTTGGTCGTGAAAACTAACAACGACTAAACTATTTGGTCGCTAAATGTATTATTATTAGTGACTAAAATTTTTAGTCAATAAATGTATTAGTATTAGCGACTAAAATGTTTTAGCGACTATATATTTTAGTCGCTAAAAGACAATTTCATGTTGATGCAGTTACTTTCGGCGACTAAATATTTGGTCGCCAAAACGTTATATTTGGTGACTGAGTCTATTTTAGTAGCTGAAGATAAAATAATTAGCGACCAACGTCAATTTAGTCGCTATTGACTATTGCCGACAAGGCTTTGGCGACCAGCGGGGCGACGAATAACTTTAGTTACCATTGACTTTTGGAGACTAAAAAACAACCTTCAACGACTAAAAATTTGGTTGCCAAAAGTATTTTTTCTTGTAGTGGAACTATGTGTTCAAGATGCAAACGGTGTCATAGACTAAAGCATTCTAAACAAGCGGTGCACTCAAATGAGCGGATAAACATAACATGGAATGCATAGAAAATGCAGGTTACATCGCAGAAAATATGAAAGCGAGGAACATACCTCCTGCGCCTGATGGGAGAGGTAGGACTCCGGCTCCTACAATAAAAGATCCCCAGCAGCATGAGACACCCCATTTTTGACCGACCTTAAGACTCAGATGTCACCAATTGAGCGCTCAGTGATGATGAATATGGTGCTCGCTCTGAGGTTACGGAGTCTCGGCTGCGAGCCTTGCTTCCGGACTTTGGGGCTCTTTTGTGCTTTTTCTCGGTTTGCGAACCAAGTCTTGTTTTCTCTGTCTTCTCTTCCCGAAGGGAGGAAGAGGTCTCGTAGACCATCTCTCAGTGGCCATAGGCTACGTTTCGCGGCCGTAGGCCAGTTTTTTCGTTTGGAGCCCAGTTTTCGGTTTTCGAAGCCGTCGGCCGTGTGCCTCGGTTCGGGACCGCTTAACCACCTCCGTTTGCTCCGATTTTTGGCACACACCTTGTTTACTCCCTTTTGGGGGACACTGTGGCTCGAGAGACCAACTTCGTGGTCGAATGCCACCTCCGGTGTTTAACAGCCCATTTTCGAGGCCCCGGGCCGCGCGTTTCGGTCCCCGAACCTTCGTTTTGCATCCGTTCTGGTTCATTTTTGGTGGAGACCTTATTTTCATTGTTAAAAAGCTTGTAGGAGGGTGGGAGGCCAGCAATTTTTCTGAAAAAGCCAGTTTTATTTCTTCATCGCTCTCCGTCGCCCGTTTTCCTCACTAGAAAGCTAATGTTGACCACTCCCGGGCCACTTTCTTTAGCCCTAAACCCCATATTTGTGTTGTACACACTTGGGAGGCCACCAATATGAATAGGCCAGCCAGTAATTGTCTCTGACCCTTTTGAACCCCTCTAAGAAGTTGGCTTTTCTCTCTCCTGGTTCATATTTTCTGGGTTTTGACCACATATTTGTGTTGTGCACACATGGGAGGCCACCTTTTTGGGGTGGCCGGCCAGCAATTTTGACTGATCCTTTTGACCCCTGGCCAGCCGGCCCCTTGAACCTTTTGAACCTGGCCGGCCATGATCCTCTCTCCAAGTGTATTCCAGCTGTGCCAACTGCTTCCCCCCAGATCCTGTATCCAAGGGGCTGCCTTTTGGGGGGGAAATTTGAATTTGTTTTTCCCCTCCTTTCCTTGGCCTCTCTCCCTCTTTAAAACCAGCACTCTCCTCCATTTCTAAGGGTTACAAAAAATTGTTTAGAGCCACCCCCTTTTCCCTTGGCCTCTCCTCTATAAAGCCAGCACCCCAACTCCATTTTGAGGGGTTACAAAAACCAGCTGAGGCATTGATACATACACCCTCTATATCTCTCATTCAACCCTCCATACCCTAAGGTTCATGCACCCTTTACACACCACCTCCAAGCCTACAACCTCCACACTCCATTCCAGCAACTTGAGACTGTTTTTCAGAGGTTAGGAGCTCCTCTTCTTGGACCAGAAGCTGCGGGAAAGTTGTGCTACAAGGGTGAGTCCTCTTCTCCCTCTTTCTTGCCTTATTTTGTTCTATATCTTAGCCCCTTTTGCTTACATTTTTGGGCTCCGACCTGAACTGTAAAGAGTCATATTTTGAGCTCTTCTTCATGTTTGATCAAGGACTTTTTGCTGTTTGAGGTCTTCTCCTCACCCTTTGTGCTTAATCCCTCTTTTAGGCCTATTTTTGAATGGTATTAGAGTCTTATTTGTGAGCTGTTTTGGACTTGGTCATAAGCTGTAAAATGTCTCTTTTTGAGCCCCTCTTCAACTTTGTTGAAGGGCTCTCCTCTGTTTGAGGCCAGCTGCTATCACTTGTCTTTTTATCCCTCTTTTAGGCCTTTTTCTTGCATGTTGTTTTAGCCTCACTTGTGTTTATTTTCGAGACTTGATATAAACTGTAAAGTGCCTTTTTTTGAGCCTCTCTTCAACTTTTTTGAAGGGTTCTTTGCTATTTAGGGCCAGCTGCTGTCCCTTGTCTCTAATCTCTCTTTTAGGGCCATTTTTGCATAATAGATTAGCCCTATTTGTGTTCACTCTTGAGATTTGTTATAAACTGAAAAGAGTCTCCTTCTGACATTATCTTCATATTTTATTAAGGGCATTTTCTTGTTTAAGGTCATATGCTTCCTTGTATGCTTGATTGTCCCTTATTTTGAGCCTTACACCTAAGCTCTTGTTGCATGCTTGGTTATGGGTCCTCTTTCTTTCTCTCCCCCTCTCTCTCTCTCTCACACTCAATTTCTCTATTTTTGTATCTCTGTTTTCCCTAATTTTCAAAATTAATGTTTTCCCTAATTTTCGAAATTAATTTTCAGAATTAATGCTGTATTTTATTCTTTCCAGCATGGTTTCTCTACAATAAACTGTGAATGTGTAAATTGTAAACTTGGCCATCCTCAATGTCTTTTGCTTGTTATCTTGCATGCTTTGAAGTCACTTTCCAGGGTCAATTTGGTGAGTTCTAAGACTACCATATTTGATTTTCATAGTTTCTTATGCCATGCTAAGTGTTCACCTTGTATGTGGTTAATAATCCATTGCATGGCCCTCTAAAGGAGCTCATCATTTTTACATGTATTGGTTGCATCTCCATGGTTATTTGGGTATATTTTCACATGTTTTATTCACTGATTTTTTTTGGTTTGGTAGGATTCCATGTGCATCCTATACCTGCCATATAACTCATGTTTGCTAGCCAATCTTGCATGCTATTTTAGTCCACCATGCTAGCATCTTTTGGCCATGCTTTGAACTGAAAATGTTCATATTTTGGGACTGCCTTGGCTCTGTCTTCATGCTTCATGATCAAATAATGCATGCTTTGTATACCTATAAGTCATCCCATGTGTCCAGTTTCGAGTTTCGGGGTTCATCTCATGCACCGGGTGCCTTTTTTCCATGTTTTGGGGCTGTTTAACATCATATTTCAGTTCGCTCTCCGTCGCCCGTTTTCCTC